AAAAGTATCACAAAATGCTACAAAATCTAAATTAACATTATTATTGGCATATTTTTCTGCGATTTTTTTAGATTTTATATTTTAATGACAGGAGGGCATTCTGAATTGACAAAATTTTTTAAAATCGGTCTAGCCATTTTTGAGATATAAGCATTCTAACTAACATTCCCTTCCTTTGTATATACACATTGTGTATATTTCGCTATATATAACCGATATATTTACTATCGGCATTTACGTAACGGTTAGAATTGACCTGTTCGTCTGTTTGTGATTTCGCCGGGATTAAAAATATTCGCGGTTTAATGGAAAATTTGATAAAACTTTTATTTAATACAAATGTTGTGGCCTATTTCACCCACTAAATATTACCCGATGACCATCTAAATTGGAAGAGTTCTGCCGAGCCCCAAACCCTAGCCACATGCTAACTTCCGCTTTGATTGGTCTATAATAGCGACCTGTAGAGCAATTGCAAAATCAGGAATTTTATGATGAATATTATGCAATCATCTCCAAAAGAAATAGGGTTCTATTCTGACCCTAGCCCCACCTCCATTCTAAATTTCGTGAAGATCGGACTATAATTGCGACCTGTTGAGTGATTATAAATTAACATGGACAGACGGACGGACATTATATTACACTCCAGGGATGAATGCAATCAAAAATATTTCGGGAAATCAAATGGTTAAAACCGAATTCTTTGTATATTTTAGAAATTTGTCAATCAAAATAAACACAATTTTGTCTTATTTAGATAGGGGCTAAATTGGATTGATGAAAACTGAAAAGCGCCAGTAAACTCGTTTTAAATTTCAATTCTTATTTCCACAATAATAATCAAGTAAGCAAAGGCTATGGTCGTGCGGGACCGACCATGTGATACCCTACAACACTACAATATGTTCGAAGTCTCCTTATATCCAAATTCATTTTGGAAGATTTCGTTTTTGAAATAATGTCAAAGAGCCCTGCCCAGATGTTACCCTTAGGTTTTTTGAGTCGGAGAATTTGGCTAATATTTACGCACTCCGTCGTGTCAGTGATGCCAATTTGGTGGTTTTCCCGCTACTTGTGGTGATTTTTGACGCATAAAAACCACTGTTTAAGAGTTATAGCGATTTTCTATTTTAAATCGCTACAGTAGCGAGTTTGGCTGTTTAAGGTAGGTAGGTTGTTCCGATTTTACGCAAAATTGTTTATCGTTATCACTTTTAAGGCAAACCAAGCCCATATAAGGTTGGACAAGAAGACTACTTGTAACAACAATTTGAAAATAAACCTATTAGTTGTCCACTATTGTGATTTCACATTGTTTAAATTTCAAGCTGCAAACTCAGAGATTGAATTACTAGCCGACCTTTTATAAGCCTTTTAAAGAACATTTCTATGTAGATGTTGATGAGTTTGGAAATAAACTAAGAAACATTTGTGTAAGTGTGGGTGAGATCTGTTCTTCTTTTTGATGAGGTCTTGTTGATGTGAAGTTTGATTACCCCTGCGTTTTTGTTTGATTTATGTTCAAGTCAGATTAAAAAAACTTGTATTTATTTTTAAAATATATCAATTGAATTATTTAAAATTAATTGAATATATGTATAATTTTTCCCCTCTTTCTGCGTAATGAATGATTATTTTTGCCGTTTTTATAAATTTTCTTAGTGTTTGTTGGTCTAAGTCAGTTGAGATTTGTGGTGGTATTTTACAATGTTATTTAATCTTTGTCAGTAGCGATTTTTGATGGTTTTAAAAAAAAAACTTATCTGTAGGGGTTTTTTACGTCGGAAAAGTTGCCATCCCTGCGTCGTGTTGCATTCAAAACAATTTCGCACGAAAGTTGTGGTCCATTTTATAGTTAAATAAAATCCAATAGTCATCCAAAATGCTAAACTTCTTCCCTGTCAGAAGAGAGTTCTTCTGATGCGAAATTCCTTGTCAATTAGTTTTCAGTTGTGGCCTATATAGGGTCTACAAAATTAGAAAAATTTAATTTTTAGCCCATTTGAACCCCTAAATGTACATCTTAAGAACAATAGGCTTTAATTTTGACCCTAACGCTACCCCATGCAATTTCGTGAGAATCGGACGATAATTGCGACATACCCTCAATGCATAGTGTTGAGGGGTGTAAAAATTTAGAAAATGTTGGTCAATTTCATTTTTAAAACAAAATCAAATAGTAGTGCAAAAATGTTATCTTGGCCTTTGACAGAAGCCTCAAGACCCTTCGAAATCGGGTCTCGCAACATAGTGGTACACTCCAACATAAGGAAATAAAAAATTGGAAAATGTGTTCGAATGCATTCGTTCGCCTGTGCTTTGACTTTAAAAAAATCAAAATATCGAATATCTGGTGGTATGACCTTATCGTAAAATGGACCTGTATCGCCTATTTTGGTACACTATGTTAAATATCCATTAGTCTTACAATAATTTAAATTTGGCCGGACACGGTTTCATTTTGTTCTATAATAGCTTGAAATTCTAAATAAGAATCCCAAACACCAAAGTAATGCCAAAGTATAGCTTTTTCCGTTGGAAAAATACCGAAATTTAGGTTATATACCGAAAAGTGGACCGATTTTGAATGAGTTGAGAACTCCAAATACTTAATCATAGCTGATTCCGTTTGGAAATGAGACCATTTTTGTTGGCATTTTTATACCTTATGGCCATATGGCAATAGAGGTTACATATCATTTGATATTTCGGAAACGTGCCTCATAGAAATAGCGGTTTTAGACCCTATGTTGTTTTTTTTACCAAATCCGGTTTAGGACATTTGACTTGGACTTGGTACATCGTATCTTTACTATCACTTTAATCGAGTTTGGAGATGAATAATATTAGTCCAATCCTTCTGAAATCTCCCTCACATAAGGGCAACATTTTCAGAGAAAAAAAATTACCTTGTAGAACAAGAATGGACCAACTCTTCAACTTTGGGCAAACTTTGCAAATCCTCATATTAATTTTCAGCATTAGATTAAGTGTGAAAATGGCACAATACGCACATTACCATATTTTTCAAAAATTATCACCAATCTCATATAAAGTATAGTCTAAATCTGGCATATTGTAATATTTATATCAGACTTGGTCCGATACGAAATGGAGAGTTTTGCGCTCTCAATTATAATCCATACTCCCAATTGTAGCTAATAACGTTGAAAAACGTGGTCAAATTCAGGTTTGTATGAAGGGGGTTTGGGGGGGTATGTTTTATCAAGAGAATTATTTTTTGCTAGTTCGGCGTCCCGAAATGTCTCGGAACTGCATTTCTCAGTTCATGGCTGGTATATTTTGTAAAAATCCAAAATTTTAATTTTTTAATCAAAATTGATTTGAAATTGAATTGATAGATTAAATATAGGAAAAACAGTGCCAAATTTGAGAGAGGCTTAAGGTTCCACAACATCAAAATCGGTCTACTCCTGCCCCTTCTCGTCGCCCTATAAATATTATTCAAACTCTAAAAAAATGTTATATCTCATGGAAAGTAAATGAAGTATTGAATTTCGTTCAAACTTGACACATCATAATATTTTTAACAGTCCTTGATTGTGTTAAAAGATGGGTAACTCCTACCTATATCTCCCCCGCAAAGGGTCGAAGTTTTGAATAAACATAAATCATGTAAAATGTTAACTGGATCACGGATATTCTTCAAAATTGGCATATTTCAATATTTCCATCAAAAGTAGATATAGGCTACTGAAATTCAAAATATTCTAGAAAATGTATAAAACATTATGAAAAATTGAAAATGGTTGAAACGTTTGCACGTCCTAATGTTTGTAACAAACTTAAGTTCCCACATCTTTTTCAAAAGGTCGAAATTTTGAATAATCATAACTTGCATAACTTCTTTGGGTAAATTTCAATATTATTACAAACATAAGATCTAGTGTCAAATGGCGCCCAACATGTTTTGCTACCTCTTCTACAAAAGTACAAAAGCGTTAAACCGACCGATATTTTCTAACTTGCTATAACAACCATTAAGATTTTTTAACACCTAAACACACCTTTTTGAAAATGTAAAAAAATAATTACATCCCTGAAACTTATCGCTTATGTGTAACAACTTGTCATCCATATTAACACTTTAGACGATCTAATGCAAGTAATATATCTTAACTCTCTCTCTCTCTGATTTCAAAAGTTTTCCTGCGTTTCGATCCTCAAAGCCAAATACCCACAGATAGCACTACATTTTGAAATCTACAAAAATTACAAAAATCACCCTCCTCTTCTTCGACATATTTTCTGCAAGATCCTTGAACAATTTTTGCCTTTGCTATTTTGGCACATGTCATATCGCCAGATTTGCAACAGATGATCGGCTATTGAGATATTGTAATAAGAAAATTTCCCTCCTTGCATATTTTGGGAAAATCGCCTGTTTTTCTCCCCCCACGTTCATGCGGTGCTGGTGACAATTTGATTCTTTCTGTTTTCCGCTTTTTACCTGACTTCCCACCGATCAACTAAACGTTGATGTTGTTATTGTCGTTTGTTTTTGTTGCTGTTTGTAAAATATCAAGAAGAATTTATGCGAGATATAACAAAACGATGTACGATTTCTTTGATTAACATCACATTGAGGGATTCTGGCGTATTTTCCATTTGTGAAATAAGAAAACTTCCCAATCACTCACACACACGCACACAGCCATGCACTGAGTAATGCACGCACATGCCATGCGAGATTTGTGCGTGTGTGTGCATTTTACTTCCCTCATTTGTGTGGTACGCTGAGTGCGTTGCACGGTGCCACAAACTCAGGTAGCCGAATGTACACCACCGGCAGCCCTTTTTGGGTGAAGTTACAAATTAAGGGAATGGGAAATTCTTTGATGTCAACAAGAATCCAAATAACAAGGGAACGAGAGAGAGGGGGAGAGAGAGAGCTAAGAGAACGTTTAATCAGTGTGTCTACGAAAATCCACCACCTTTTCTCCGTGTCTGCCGGATATAAAAGGAAGCGCAGAGAGCTAACCTGTCATAGCAACACAAACGCTCAAACTGTGAACATCATCAAGCGAACGAACTCAAATCAAATACGAATAAATTTTATTTTTTGATTTCGGAAAAATACGATCTAAATTCAGTGCATAACAACACGGATAAAAGAAGCAAAGCACACTCAACAACAACAATTTTTTGATTTCGGAATTTTGTTTTTCTTTTGACGTTTCATTAAAAAATAAATAAAACACAAACATGGCTGCCAACTACAAAAGCTGCCCATTGAAAAAACGCCCCATCATCTATGTCAAGGACGAACAGGAACTGCAACAACCCAAACAGGTCTACGAACAGATGGAAGCCTTGGCCCTGACCAAGCGTTCCCAAGCTGATGATCAGCCACAAGATTTGTCACTGAAACGCAAGGCTAACGACAGTTTTGAGGATTATGTCGTACCAGTCAAGCGTGAATGTGTCCTAAATCTTTCGAGCAAATCATCAGCCCAAGAAGCCAAGGTTACGTTCCAATCACCAGTCATGGATTTGTCCAACAGCTCGGCCATGCTGTCGCCACCAGCTGAAGTTGATTCCAGCATGGAATACCAACCCAGCGATATTCATTTGCGTGGCTTGACCGCCAACACCACCGGCTACACCACCAATCCCTATCAGTCGGCTTTTGTTATGGCTGCTGGCTGCAATCCCATGACTGCCCTATGGAATACCTATCAACCCAACTTGTCGGCCATCTTCCCCTCACCAGCTTCATCCATTGCCTCCGCTGCCTCACCCAGATCCAACTACAGTTATCAACACATTTCTCCACCATCCAGCCCTGGCTCCGACATGAACTCCGAACCTGAGGATCTTTCAGTGCGCAATGACATCCCCTTGCCAGCTCTCTTCCACATGTTTGATGAAACTCCCAGCCATAGCTCCGGAGTATCATCATTCTCCTCAGCCTCATCGGTGTATTCGCACAGCAGTTATACCAGCAGTGGATCCTCAGTCAGCAGTGGCTCCTCATCCAACTCCTCTCAGAATGCCAGCAAAAACTATCGTTTCAAGTGTGACAAATGCAACAAAATGTACTCCACCTCCATGGGTTTGTCGAAGCACCAACAATTCCACTGCCCTGCCGCTGAATGTAACCAGGAAAAGAAACAACATGCCTGCCAGGACTGTGGCAAGCTCTACACCACCATGGGTGCCTTGAAAATGCACATTCGCACTCACACCCTGCCCTGCAAGTGCCCCATCTGTGGCAAGGCCTTCTCGCGCCCATGGCTGTTGCAGGGACACATTCGCACCCACACCGGTGAAAAGCCCTTCCAATGTCCCGACTGCCCACGCTCCTTTGCCGATCGTTCCAACTTGCGTGCCCACCAGCAAACCCATGTCGATGTCAAGAAATACGCCTGCAAGGTATGCAACAAATCCTTCTCGCGCATGTCGCTGCTGAACAAACACACCAGTTCCAATTGTACCATTACAATTGCGTAAGCTGGAAATCATCGCAGCCCACCAAACTCGCCAACATTCCGCTGGAAAGGATATCATCGTTAACTGTTTGATCTTTTTTTAATTTTATATAAACCCATTTTTTTTATTTTTAATTTTAAACAACAAGCAAAACAAACAAACCTCAATTAGTTTTTAAAAAACCTCCCAGATTTTAAGGAAGACAATAATCTATCGTTTATAGAGATACTCATAGTTGTAAGCTTTTTTCTCTTCTATTTTTTTGATAGTCAATAAGTTGTTCTGCTAGAAACTAAGACTCAAAATGGTGCTATATCTTGTTATAGTATTTTATTTTTAGTTTTATTTTTTTTCGTTTTGAATTACAATAATTTATTTTGAATATTAATTTGAGTTAGTTTTTTTTTATTTTTTCTATTAACTTTAAGTTAGGCATTGAGTTCCCGGCTCTAGTCCTGTTTTATAAATCTCTCTCTCTATTTTAGCAAAACAAACCGAACTTGTAAATTTTTTGTTTATGGAAGACACAGCATTTTACCAAATTATTTTTTATTGATTTTATATATTTTAGTTTTATTAAGGAAATTTTTTATATATGTTAAAATAGTTGTTAAGTTATATATTTTTATACATGCAACAAACAAACAAATAAAATATTTTTTAAATTCAACAAACAAAATCATCTTCATTTCTTTTTATTCCAAAGTTATTTTTTCAGTTTGAAAATATAGTTATATAAAGGGAATACAACTATTTTAAACAATTAAATGGTATAAATAGTATCATTGGGATTTTTTACATTATTATGGATAAAAAAAGGCATTTAAAAAAGATGTAATATTGATTGAAATATGTCGAACTTCAGAACATATTTCTTACAATTTCAAAAGTCTTAAATGGAGCTTTTCATCGTTAAAATAAAAACCAGTAAAGACAAGTCGAAGGTCGAGCGGGCCGTCTTTATGATACCCTTACTACACCACTGTGTACATTTAGTAGAGCTCCCGTAACAAAAGAATTTATTTAAAGTAGATCATTGCACCTATCAACTTTTGATTTTAGAGTAGTTATAATTTGGTTTTAGAGGGAACTAATGTATGAGAGGAGTATTCATTTCTGAATCGAGATATAGACATTTTTATATATATTTTTTTACCAAATAACATTGCTATAGAGTGCTTCACTTCGAGAAGGATTATATAAAAACATGTAAGAAAGTATAACAAGTAAAAAAGCTAAGTTCGGCCGGGCCGGTTTTTGAATACCCTCCACCATTTGGAACGAATTTTGCAATTTTCAAAAAAAAAAAAAAAAAAAATAAATAAATAAATAAATAAAATCCGTTCAAAATTCTATTAAATATTGGGGTATAAACGACGACGTGGACCTGCATAGGCAACTTTTGTCATAAGCCATTACAATATTCAAATGCGAAACTTGAAAAAAAAAATTGTAAAAAAGCAGTAAGTTCGGCCGGGCCGAACTTTGAATACCCTCCACCATTTGGAACGAATTAGAAAAATTTCAAAAACAAAAATGAAATCCATTAAAAATCCTTTTAAAATCTTTAAAATATCGGAAGGTGCCGATATATGGGAACCTATATAGACAATTACCTTTCGGGGGTTAAAGTGCTCACAAAGAACTCCTTGTGTGGATTTTCAGGCAATACCATAGGAAAATATGGCTACTACAGCATAAAACAGAACATGGCTATGTAGGTCCACGTCTTCGTATAGCCCCCATATAACGGTACCACCCGATATTGGGTATTTTAATGATTTTAGAGACATTATTTACCGGATCTATTTCAAATTTCGCATTTCGCGTTTAGTTCGTAATGACAGAAAATTGTCTGTGCGGGTCCACGTCTTCGTATAGTCTCCATACAACGGAAACCCTGATATTCGGTATATTGATGACTTTAGCGACATTATTTACCGGAATTATTTTATATTTTGTATTTGATATTTGACGTAGTGAATACTACAGCCTATCCCAGAAAATTGTCTGTGTATGTTCACGTTTTATAACCCCCATGGTACCTCCCTATATTCGGTATTTTGATGATTTTAGCTACATTATAAACAGATTTTTTTTCAAACTTCGCATTTGAATATTGTAATTGCTGGTGAAAAAGTTGCCTATGCAAGTCCACGTCGTCTTATAGACCCTAATATACGGCTATTTTTAAGATTTTAAGAGAAAAGAATCGCAATTGTGACCCTTTAAAGGGGAGGTAGCAGAAGGGGTGGGCCGATATCTATCATCTTCACACCAGATCTTTTTTTCAGTAGAAATATTGGAATATGCGAAGCTTAGAAAGAATCCGATGTTTCTTTCGCATTTTATGAGAGATAAAATTATTCAACATTTTGAGACGTTGTGGGGGAGGTGCCAGAAGGAGTGGTCTGATATATTTCATTTTCATACATGATGTGCTGGTAATAATATTAAGATGTGCAAAACTTGAAGAAAATTGGACTTTTACATTACATTTTATAGGAGTCATAATTATTTTAAATTTTGAACCCTTGTGGAGTAGGCGGATGTATCCTATCTCCATAATAGATAAATAATAAATGTTTTTGGTAGAAATATTAGGATGTTCACATTTTATAAGAGTTATAATAAATCACAATATTGATCCTTTATGGGGGAGGTACTTGATGTAGTGGGCCGATATATTAAATTTAAGTACTTGACCTAAGGCTAATGAAAATATTGGGATTTGCAAAGTTGGGCGATCCTTTCTTTTTCTATTCGGTAAATTCTTTCCTGCAAAAAATTTGACCTTTTTTGGGGGAAGAGTGGAGCAATATTGCCCATCTCCGACCCCAATCTAAGTTTGCCATTAATATGACAATATACAAAGTTTGGATCAAATCGGATAATCCCTTCGAGAGTTATTGTGCACGCCAACCAGCCAGACGGACGGAAGAACATCCCTAGATCGACTCCAAATGTCCTGAAACGGATTTGATCCAAAGAGACCTAGGGTCTAAAACCGTTATTTCGATGAGACACGTTTTGGCCCTATCCGTAGCCGTACCCTCGGTAGCCATATAGCAGAAGGTATACAAAAAGTGCCATCTGAGATCAAGAACTATTTTTTTCAGTTTCAAGATGACTCAAAATAAAATATTTCGTACACATGTAATTTTATTTTTATGGACTCTCAAAATATTTTACTATTGGACACAAATGAACAATAATGTCTGCGCATATACCGGAAGAACATTGTTGTCATTGTTATAATTCGTCACATCACGACAATCGTAATGAATGGAACGCACGATATTCTTATGCAAATTTCACTTGATGCCAATGATGATGATGAGCTGAATATTTACTCACTGTCAACGGTGATATCTTATGACAACGAACTCATTATCATAACAAAGCTATTTATTTGGGAAGAGATATGAAATTAAAGTACCTGTCCATGGTATACATTGTCTCCATAGTCGTCTTATTGGGTGCACCAGGTATTCCAGATGAAATTGAAAGAAAACAAAACGCAAATACGGCATGCACTTCACAAAAGAAATTCAGGGCAATCAGTAGACACGCATTTCCTGTTTTTCAACATTTCATTGAAATTATCCTTTTAAGCCTTTCACGCACACATGCGCTCACAGAAAACTCTAATCAAATAGGGAGAAATATTCGAAAAATATTTGCTTAAAGGATTCGAAAATAAAACAGCAGAACCTTTGACGCTGTAAATTGCAAGAGAAGAAAATATTTCCACGCACACAAGGACATTCTCATTTCTATCACAAATCAATCTCCCCTCTGAAGCAGAGTAAGAGAGATAGCTAAATATGTGTAAGCAGTGCAAGTAATACCGCCACACCGAGCAGGTGATAGCTGAGTGTTGCATTCTGCAGTGATTTGTGCGCATGCGTCCGTTTGCCCATGCGTCTTGTGATGTGTTTGTATGGCGTCGCACACACACAGCCTGCGTAAACATATTGTGGCGCAAAATCAGAACAATTGATAATAAGTCGAACTCGAAACAATACGAATTCGTAAAGGAAGAAACAGCAGCAGAAGCAAAGAAATAAATAAGAATGAATTGTGTGCGTGTGTCCTTTTGACAAATCCATTGTTGTCTTTACTATTTCTGTGGTTGTTTTGTAAAGGATTTATGTCGGTTGTGTGTGTTTGTAACTGCTGGTGGTAGTTTTTCTATTGGTGAGGTTCTATTGAATTACATGCAGCCTGATAGGAGACCAACCCCGAGAATGTCACAATTATTCTTCACATTTTCCAAAAATTTATTACAAGAACTTTGTGAAGGAATGTAGAAGATTTACTTTACTACTCTATGCGATTTCAGGCATTTGAAATATTTTGATCGTGTTTTCAAATAGAAATAGCTAAAAATTGGTATTTGTAGTTCCGCTGACCATATACGTCGAAATGTCGACGTAGATTGTCGAAATATAACAATGTACAGCCCCATAAACATTCCAACGAAACATTGAAAGTGTCAACTCCTCAAAATTACAGAAAATTTTTGAAATGGGAGTAGGTTCTTGCATGGAATTTGCACACCATTATCGAACGATTCAAAATAGTTTGAACCCTTTGACCTTATTGCCATAGACATTTCGTAAAATTCGGCAAATGGGTTTACATTGCTTTTTATACCCTCCACCATAGTATGAAGGGTATATTAAGTTTGTCATTCCGTTTGTAACACCTCGAAATATACATTTTAGACCCCATAAAGTATATATATTCTTGATCAGTATAACATTCTATGTCGATTTATCAACATCCGTCCGTCTGTCCGTCTGTGGAAATCACTCTAGCTTCCGAACGAAATGAAGTAGGTTGATAAATTTTACTCAAATGTGTATTATGTCTGCAGGACTTTTGGTAGTGAAAATGGACCATGTAGGTCCACGTCTTCGTATTGCCCCCATATAACGGAACCTCCCGATATTGGGTATTTTGATGATTTTAGAGACGTTATTTACCGGAACTATTTCAAATTTAGTATTTAAAGTTCGTAATGAATACTACAGCCTATGACAGAAAATTCTCTGTGCAGGTCCACGTCTTTGTATAGCCCCCATATAACGGAACCCCCAATATTCGGTATTTTGATGATTTTATCGACATTATTTACCGGAATTATTTCAAATTTTGTATTTGAAGTTCGTAATGAATACTACAGCCAATGACAGAAAATTGTCTGTGCAGGTCCACGTCTTCGTATAGCCCCCATATAACAGTACCCCCGGATATTCGGTATTTTAATAATTTTAGCGACATTATTTATCAGAATTGTTTCAAATTCGCATTTGAAGTTCGTAATGGATACTACAGCCTATGACAGAAAATTCTCTGTGCAGGTCCACGTCTTCGTATAGCCCCCATATAACGGAACCTCCAGATATTGGGTATTTTGAGGATTTTAGAGACGTTATTTACCGGAACTATTTCAAATTTAGTATTTAAAGTTCGTAATGAATACTACAACCTATGAAAGAAAATTGTCTGTGCAGGTCCACGTCTTCGTATAGTCCCCATATAATGGTACCCCGGATATTCGGTATTTTAATGATTTTAGCGACTTTTTTACCAGAATTGTTTCAAATTTCGCATTTGAAGTTCGTAATGGATACTACAGCCTATGACAGAAAATTGTCTGTGCAGGTCCAC